ATAGCATCATGAAATGAATACAATCAAAATTTAAAATAACATTTAAATTTATTTTTTATCATAAATGTGAGTGCTGATTATTTTTAATAAGCTTCTTTCATGATAGTCAAAATTATAACTTGCATAAAGATTTTCTCTTCATCTTATTAATTTAATTTTTTTCTAAATGAGAGTGTGATACAATTCTCTTCATAACTTGAAGGCTTTTATTATTTTATTTAACTTCTTCTATCTTTTATTGAATCAGATTTGTAAAGCATAATGTAATGTACCAGACAACAGTATTATAATATCATATATTGATTACTTCCTAATTACAACATTTAAATTTTATTTTAATTTTCTTAATTATTCTTACAATTTTGAAGTGAAATATTTATTATTAAGGAGGGACAATACAAACTAATAAAAAAATTAATTTTTAGTTAAATATCTAAAATTTTTAAAATTGAAAAAAATATTTTCGTGATTCTTTAGATTAAATATAGCAAGTATGAAAAAATTAAAATATTTATTATTAAATTGATATTAAAATTACATTATAATTAAACTTCATAACTTTGCTAATTAATTTTCTATCTCTCTAAAACTATAGATATCATCGTTTTAGGTATTTACTGTTGTATGAAAATTTAGCCATTTTAGATTATTGTATTAATATCATCTAAATATATGATTTAAGTTAAGATATGTAATTTTTAGATTATATTTAAAATTCAACATCAGAGGTCTAAATATAAAGAATCAATAATACTCATTATATTTTTATGAATGAATAAGGTGTTTACTTAGGAGTTTTTGGGTATGAAATCGAATTTTAAAATTCTAATGAAAGTCAATTCTAAATTGTCTTATAGGCAGAAAATTCAATATCATCAGCTGAACTTCAAATGTAGATATAAGTACCTATTATCAGGGTAAACTATAACAATTAATAAGAGTAAATTTAATTTAAAAAGGACTATTATAATTTAATTATTGCTTAATATGTTTTTTATAATAATTTATATCAATAAATGCCAAAAAAAGAGAAATATGAAAAAATAAATTAATAGAGTTGCCGAAAGATTACTCTAGATATATAAATATTAAGATTTATTTGAAATTTTAATATATTTTTTAGGTTAATATGTTTCAATATTGAAAATTATTTTATTTTATATTTAAAAAAACATTCATCAAGAAAATTTCTACTGAATCAATACTATTGTAAACTTTCTAGCAATTTCAGTTTGAAGTCATTACGACATAATTCAATTCTACATAAAATGTTAATAAATAAAATAGAAAATAACATTATTACTCCATTTTTATTTACTTTAAAGAATTATAAAATTTAGGAAGAGCCTATTCCTTTATTTAGTGATGAATTTTTGTATTCTTCATTTGTTATGAATGATGGAACATTAAGAGGATGAACATTATTAATCAATGAAAGAATATTTATTAGTTTTTTCAGCTTGTTAAAATAGCTCCTTAAAAACCGGTAGTTATTGTGCTGACGAGAAAACAATAAATGAATATATGTCTAAACATCATGGATATCTAATTTTAACAGTTAGATTGAATTAATTTAATTATGTTAGTTAAAAATTCGAAACGTTCGTTAAATAATATTATTAAGCTTTTGATCCTAGAAGGTCTTATTATTCTTAAGTAATGTTGAAATAATAAGAAACCATCCTTGATGATGGAGTACTTTTTAAGAATTAAAAGAGTCACCTTTTCCTTAACAATTATGAATTGATCAATTAAGAGGTTGAAAAATAATTTATGCCAGATACAATCGCATTTATTTCAAATGATATTTACAATTTAAATATTTCAAATTCATATCTTTTTAGAATAGATAATATATTTGTTATTGAAGAGATTAGTATGACAAAACTTGGCCAAGTTTTAGCTTAGATTGGTTCAATTGTTTAACTAATCTTTTTATTAAAGTATGTGGCACTCTATTATAATAATGAATTACTTTAAAATTAATTGTTCCATGATATTTTATCTATGTATTATCCAGAATTAAAAAACATAAAAATCAATATCTTTAATAAATTTGAGTTTGATGAAGAAATTAATTAATGTTAAGTTCCTATTAAAAATTTGAAATTAATTTATGGATAATTATTAAAACGAGCTAAAGAAAAGTGTAGGTTGAATAATATTATATATGAAATTTCTAGAGTCTAATTTATTCTTGAATAATAATTTGGAAATCGGATTTTATTAGGTAGTCATTAATTAGGAAAGAAATTATCTAAAAATTCTAATGAGTTTGCTATCGACAGAATCACGGAATCAAATCGATTAGTTGTCTAGCCAGCAGAATAATTAGACCAAGATTAAGAATAAGAGAATTATTTGAATGAACCTTTAGAGATCCTTATAAAGCATAATTGAATTAATAATATCATAATAAATTTATAATTTTTAATTTTAATTATCTTTTTAATTTAGAAATATTTAAAATCTGATAATTGACATGTAAATACTAATTCAACTTTAATTTTTTTTAATATAGATGAAAAATTAAATGGTTAACTTTAATTCAAATATTGTGAATTAATTTTAAACAACATGTTTACCATAAACCATCTTTAATCTTATTTTTACTTCTTCCAAAAATTGAATGACCTTCTAATGTTTATACTATATATAATAAAATGAGGACTTATAATTTAGAAAATTTAGTTTAAAGATTACTATTACTAGAATAAGTATTAATAAAAGATAGATTGGTTACATTTAAATTTACTTCTCAAACATTTGGCTGTAAATATAAAATATTTCACAAAAGTCTTAAAGTAAATTTTATTTATCATATTTATATAATGCTAGTGCTTTGATCAAATATATAAAAGCAACCTCCAAATATTTAAACTTCTATAATAGATGTATTAATATTAAAAAAGTCTATGTTTTAGATTTCTTTTCAGAATTCATTAATATTGATTCAGGTAAAATTGTATCAGGCAAAGTTTAAGGGAAAGCTTTTATTCATTAGACCAAAAGAAAAAGTAATGTGAAACTGGAGAGCGGTTTATTTAATTTTTGTAATAATAGATATTGAATCAGCTTAATTTAGTATCTGCATTATTTAATTAGATTACTTAATATCTAAAAGTCTCCCATTAGTCATTGAGCATTTAATAGAAGAAATTAGAATATTTAGATTGAATTTAGCTCTAAAATAAATGATGAATAAACATAATTAATACTTGTTATAATTAAAGTATCTAAATTATTTTAATTCTTATTTCTTTATAAAATTATCCAATGAAATAAGTTTGAAATTGCTTAAAATAACTTCTAAATGTTTAATAGAGGTAAACAAACAAACTAATATGCACAATTGAAGTACAATAATAAATAGGAATGATATAATTTATCTTGATTGATATAAAAATCTAAAAAATATCTGTGGAAATAAACGTTTATGAGCATTAGATTAAATAGAGTGTTTATAATTTATATAAATTGTCATCTTTATCATAATCCTTGAAGTAATAGGGTGTAATGTCCTTGCTTTGTAATTTGTTGTAAATACCTATTCTGATTCTTCCAAAGTTTTTATTACCATTTTATTTATGGTAATATTAGAATTTTGATTGAATCTTAAATAGCCTTGCTTCCCAGTTTATCAATTTTATTCAATAATTAATTTAATTTTCATCTTATTTAATTGTACTAAGTTTTGAGCTTTTAGCCCCGATTCCCTTATTAACTCTTAAGTTAGTTTTTGTGAAATTTATTCTTTGATGGAGTTTTATCATCATGTTTAAAATGCATTTGACTTCTATAAGATATGCTGAAGTATAACAGCCAGATCCACATTTCTCACAGTATTCTAAAAAGAATTAATCTCTCATAGAGTCTCCAATTCTATTAACCAATATATGATTATATTACAGAATTTTATCCAATAGTTTATTAATTGTATTAGTATTTTATTAGTTTTTATGAGTGTGGTAATCCCTCATCTTTGGAATTTATTAACTTTTCTTTGGATAATAGCTATTAGGAATTAAAGATCCAATTAGGCCAGCTGTGTTAAATTCAATTAAATAATGTTATAAATCAGAAGCGAGAGTAAGAATGGTTACTGGAGATAATATATTAAACAACAGCAATAGCAAAAGAATGTGGAATTCTAAAATATAGAGAAATAGGTGAATGGGAAGTTGTAGAAAGAAAGCAATTTAGAGAATTTGTAGGAGGATTAAAAGATGCAAAAGTAGATGGAAAAACAGTGGAAGTAGTAGGAAACAAAGAGAACTTCGCTAGAGTATGAAGAAAAATGAAAGTAATGACAAGAGCATTACCAGAAGATAATATATATTCTTGCTACTGGTTTAATAGCTGAAAGAAAGTTATTGCTGTAACTGGAGATGTACTAATGATGCAGCTGCTCTAAAAAAAGCTAATATTAGATTTATGGAAATTACAGGATTTGATGCTGCTGATTTAGTTTGTTTTAAATAAATTCTTATTATATTATTTTTTAGATGATAATTTTTAGTTCCATTGTTACAAGTATATGTATATTATACTATATAGCTATGAGATGAGGTAGAAATATTTATGTTAGAAAGTTTATCTAATTCTAATTTAATGTCAAAATTATAGTTTTGTTTATGATATTTTTAGGAGCTGTCATCTCCTTTGAATACAATTTAAATTTTGTGGGTTAATTTGATTATAGATACAATTGCTTCTTTAGCATTAGCTACTGAACTTGATATTTCAGTTTTATAAAGACAGCCTTATAAAAGAGAAGATAAAATTGTTATATGAAGTATGATTATGACAATTCTTGGAGGACCCATCTATTAAATTGGTGTCTTTTGGAGAATTTTATTCTTTCTTCCATCAGGCATGGATTTATCTCTACCCCCAGAACTTATTGGAAAAAAAGTAATCTCTTTATTTAAATCTAAATTTAGTTTTGTAGAAATTTTTCTAAAGGAGCATTTTGTTCTAAACTGTTGTTCTTATACAAATTTTCAATTTCATTACTTGTAAATAACAAAATTACTTGCAATAATCGTTAATTTAAATTTTGCTTTGGTTATTCAATGTTTCTAATTTGTAGAGGTTTCTCATTTAACTTTATATTAACATCTATTATGTCTTGTCAATTGGAGTTGGCAGTATTCTAATCTCTGTTCTTGTTAAAATAATTATTCCTCAATGTTGGTTTCAATCAGTTGAATTCTTCAGAGATAAATTAGTTCAATCTAGTGATATGGATACCTCTTTAACGAGCATTCTTAGAAGAAAAGCTACTGCTAGAAATAGAAGATTTAATTATGAAGATCATTTGAGAATCCAAGAAATAAGGAGTGCATAAAGAATGCTATGATATCAATACGCATAATCCATTTATTCTTTCGAGATTATATTCTTATATTATATTTAATTGTTTATTTATTATCAAAAAACGATTGTTTATCTAAAAGTAATATTAGGGTATAGATATTTAATTCATTTTTCAAAGTTTCATATTAATTAGATTATCTAAGTTTTGAATTACTTTTTTAAATTAATCAGTTTAAAAATTGTTTAATTTTTTTCAATTTCGAACTTTGTAGTATAATATTTTAAATCTAGAAAATTGATAAAACATTAAGCAAACATTAATATTTATTTAGTTTCTTAAAATTTATAGGTACCTCTACAAATCATAGCAATTATCTTTAAATATATTAAAAT